TGTCCCTTTCTTGCCGCTTACTTACCCGTCTTGGGCACGAGTTTATCAGTGTGTCCCTTTCTTGCCGCCTACTTACCCGTCTTGGGCACGAGTTTGAGGAGGACGGAAGAGTAGCCCATTATGGGATAGGCGGAGGCTGATAAGAAGCCGTAGAGGTTCGCCATGGCGCCATCTTTCTGAGGGGAGTCGTCCTCGAGGAAGTCGTACGGCGGGAGTTTCGACGTGTCTATCACAGGGTCCCAAACGTACCCGTTCCTCGCGGGCAGGTTAACAATCACGGGTAAGTGACTTGCATTGAACGCCACGTACATCTCCCCTTTCACCTCATCCTTCACAGTAAAGGCGACGAATCTGCTCGTCTCTGACCAGTCCGGGCAATAGGCCTGATGGCCATGCCAGCTCAGATTCTCGTCCGTTGGAAATTCCTCCGAGCGCAGGCACTCCCACTCCCTCCTCAAGCGGATAGCCAAGCGGAAGAAGCGGCATAGGCCGTTGACATCGGCGTCTTTCTTGTCCCATCTGAAGTAGTTGAGGTTGTTGTCTTGACAGTAAGTGTTGTTGTTCCCACCTTTGGTGTGCGCGTACTCGTCGCCCATATGGATCATCGGAACCCCGCGCGCCACCATCAGCGCGAGGACGAAGTTGCGCATCTGCCTCTGGCGCAACGTGGCCACGCGCCCGTCTACCACCTCCCCATCGGCCCCGCAGTTCCAACTCAAGTTGTTGGAATCTCCATCGTTGTTGTTCTCTCCATTGCCGAAGTTCTGCTTCTCGTTGTAAGAAACCAGATCTGCGAGCGTGAAACCGTCGTGAGATGTCACGAAGTTGATGCTATGGTATGGTTTGCGACCTCCGGCGGCATAAAGCTGCGGCGAACCGCACAAGTAGCTCGCGAATGCCCCCGCCTCCCCATCGCTGCCTTTGATGAACATCCTCACACTGTCTCGGAACTTGCCGTTCCACTCCGCCCAAAGACCCTGATGATAAGGGAAGTTGCCGACCTGATAGAGACCAGAAGCATCCCACGCCTCTGCGATCAGCTTCGTTCCTCGCAAGACGCCATCGTTACAAATCATGTCAATCAAAGGAGGGCGAGGGAGTGGGGTTCCCGTCACAATGCCATCCTCCTCCCCCCCTCCCCCGCCGTCAACCCCCCCCATTGCCCGACCATCCTGTCCGTACACCACGCAGCTGGACCACATGCTGCTCGATCTAGTCAACACTGACGCCAGGTCGAACCGGAATCCATCCACGTGCATCTCCAGCACCCAGTACCTCAAGCAGTCGATGATGAACTGCCTCACAACTGGATGATTGCAGTTGAAGGTATTGCCACAGCCAGAGTAGTTGTAGAACTCTCCCCTCGGCGCCGTCATATAAAACACTCTGTTGTCCAGTCCTCTGAAAGACACGATCGGTCCCCTCTCATTCCCCTCTGCTGTGTGATTGAACACAACGTCCAAAATCACCTCCATTCCCATCTTGTGACACTCCTTAACCAAAGTCTTGAACTCCCAAATCGCATTCTTCGACGCGGATGGAACGCCGCCGCTTCTTACCGCGCCCTCTCCTTTCCCCCCTCCATCGCCGCCGCCGCCGCCGCCGCCGCTCGGTCGCAGCCTCCTCCCCCCATGCGCCGCTGCGTAACGACTCATTGGGGAAAAGAAATTGATCGTTGAGTAGCCCCAGAAATTCACCCGGTGATCGTCCATCGCCGGATTATAGGAGTAGAACTCCAGCTCGTTGAACTCGTGGACAGGAAGCAGCTCGATCGCGTTCACACCTAGCTCTTTTAGGTGCGGGAGTTTCTCGATCAAGCTGAGATAAGTTCCCCTCGGGGCTTTGGTTTTGCTCGAGGCGTGCCTTGTGAAACCCCGCACATGCATCTCATAAATCACCAGATCCTTCATGTGAAGGCTCGGTGAAGTGTCCCCTTCCCAATCGAAATCATCCTCCACGTCATCTTCTCCGACTCCTACTTCTCCTTCTCCTCTCGTCATTGGTACCAACCCCGCCAGCTGCGGCCAGCAGACTGCTGTTCCTGCTTTGTCCCCATTCTCCTCATCGGCCAGTAAGAAGGTCGGCTGCCCGAATGCCCGCCTGCTGCTGGTCACCAACTTCGCGTAAGGATCAACCAGGACTTTCGACTTATCGTAACGCTCACTCTGCTCCGGTAAAAAACTGCCGTCGACCCGATACCCGTACGTCAGGTTTGGTGCGAGGTCCGGCACAAACACGTGCCAGATCTGGCCGGTTCGGTTCCAAAGCGGATGAAGAACGATCTCCTCAGTCACACGGCCCTCTTGAAGATCGTCGGCTGTGAAAAGGCACAGCGAAACTTCTCTCGCTCCTGACGAGAACAGAGAGAAGTTAACGCCTCCGTTCCTTGCCGACGGTCCAAAAGGCATTGCGTTGCCCCTTGTAGGCGCGCCATGCAGCATACCCGCCTCACCCGTCGTCTTTTGCCCTCTACTCCTCCTCCCATACCCATCCTCCTTGCTTCTTTCTACCTTTCCCACCTCTTCATCAACCATCCGGTGCTCTCCCAGCTTCGGGGACGCTGCCACCGCCACAGTGTTGACGGCGGGCGCAAAGCCATATTCCCCCACATCTTTACCCTGCCAACCGGCCCCCCCACGGACTCTCCTGCTAACCATATCACCTCCTCCTCCTCCTCCTCCAACACCCTTCTCTTTCTCCCTTTCACGTCCGCCGTGGGAGGAGGAGATGGCATCCATCACAACGCGACGACTCTTTCCTAGGCCCGCACTCCTCTCGCCAATGCCATCGCCGATCTTCAACCATCTTCTCATCCTCTTTTCCCTCGCATCTCCCTCCCTCCTTTTCCGCATGCCCCCGGGTATATCTACCCACACTCCCACCCCTACGGTTAATCCCCCCCTTCCCACTTTGCCCCCGGCCCTTCTACACCGACAAAGGACAGCTCTTCTGTGCATGGGCGCCCCTTGGTGCGCTGGAAAGGCCCAAACTAATCCAGTCGCCGCCTCTCCTCGCCTCGTCATCAAGCCCTCAGGACGCTTTACAACCACTGCCGTGCACGCATTCTGCAGTCGGTCGCCGGACCATGAACAGTCACGCAGCAGCAGGTCTTGTGAAGAGGAGCAACCACCGCCGTAACGCAGCAGTGGCGATCCAGTGGCGTTAGCCATGCGCGCCAATGGCTGAGCTGCTGATGAGACCAAGGGACCTCGCCGAGCTCCCGCTGAACGAGTCCTTCTACGAGTAGCCGCTGCCGATCTAGCGGGCCCACTGTCACGCGCGGTCGCGCAGATGTTGCCCATGATTGCGCGGCTGTGGCGCATGGCCATCCAGCTGTCGCGCATCCTTGACCAAGTGGCGACCGGAGACGCGCAAGTGGATGCGCAGTCCGCTGCAAAACCTCCATATCTGAGGCCGGTCGTTCTAGGTAAGCAACTGCAGGATGGAACAGGGCCGAGGGAGACGGTGTGGCGGGAACTCCGCAGAGCTTTTGTCGCCAACTTCACACCATGTCTACAGACCGACGATGACAAGGGGCTCGGTGAGCTTGGCGCGCACCAAACATTTTGGCGCCAAATTCGTGTGGTCCCGGCAATCGAGCAGGATGCCATATCTACAGTTGATGTGCGTGCGCAGAAGCGTGCGCAGAAGTCATCACACGGGACGAAAGATCGACCACGCAGGACAGCCACAAAATGGGCGAGAAATGCAAAAGGACGATACGACGAGGCAATGGAATGGAGTAAGCGGCAGCAACCCAAGCTAGGAGTCAAAGACAGGTCGGTCTTCGTCGCATTGTCAAAATCGTTTCCGCACAGTTTCTTCGTCTCTCCGCCGGTCGATAGTTGAATGCTTCTTGACCAATGGACTCGACATATAGGCGTATCTGTCAAAAGTTACGACGGAATGAGGTTAGCAACTGCCAATGTTCTTTAGATCTCACGATAAATGCCCTGAAAAGAGCACACGGTGAAATGCCGTCAATACATCCATAGTACATCCATAGTACATTCATTGTAAATTCATAGTAAATTCATAGTAAATTCATAGTAAATTCATAGTAAAAACAAAGTAAATTCATAGTAAATTCACAGTAAATTCATAGTAAAAACAAAGTAAATTCATAGTAAATTCATGGTATGGTAAGTGCATGATACATTCATGGTACATTTCTCATGCCTAGGTCAACAACGACATGCCATAGCCACATGCTGTGGTTCCCTCAAACACAACCTACCCTGATAACGAATGTATACAAGCCATCTTTCGGGTCCGGTGCAGCCAAAATGTTCGGGGGAAGACGGATAGAGCAATAGTATGAAGAATAGGATGTGGAAGGTAACCGCCACACATACCGGTCAATGCGGCAATTTCTTGATTTCTTTTTCAATGACGATTTCTCTTAAAAATAATAAAAAAGGGGAAATTTGTGTCACGCCCCTGAAAGTTGAATTAATTAGCGTCATGCCACTTTGACGGCCGACTTACCCTGTCGCCCCCTCTGACAAAGATTCAAGTTTGCGATAAACCCCTGGCATAGGTTGGGCCAGAAATACTAGTATGTTAATTATGCCCCTACGGATACCGGTTCCAACTTTTTAGTATGCCCCTACGTGATAGGGGAGGGACTGGTGCAAATAGGACAAGTCCGGAGAGGGGCATCCCAGAAAGTTGTTGTACCCGCTGCTGACAGGGGCCTGCAGAAAAGTTCAGTGGCCTCCAGCAGGGGCAAGAAAGGGTAAGTATACCTTTCTCGGCCTTTTGGCTAAAAATAGATCAAGTGTAGTATCTGTTCTAATCAGTTTAAATATCTGATCTATGGTCCATCGGGCCATAAATTTAAAAAAAAAAAAAAAAAAAAAAAAAAAAAAGAGAAAGGGTAAGTCAGCCCTCGGCGGGGCGCGGATGCAAATACGTTCAACTTAGGGGCACAGCACAAATTTTCCCACCAAAAAAAGGACGACAGCCTTGAGATTTCATCATAGAAACTGGCCAGCCCTCCGTACTTCAGAATCGTAGTATTTGGGCCTCGCCGCACCACTGTCGAGAAACCTCAAAATCTCGTCGGCTGTCAAAAGAAACTCGACAGCCGCTCTTTCTACAGTTGCCCCCCCTTTTGCCACACAGCACTGTCGAAGTGAAAAGCTCACGAATGATGCAAGTGCGAAAGAGACAACCCCGCCTGAGCATAGGACAACAATCATTCTTCCATCCCGACCTCAGTCCCACTCAACAATTTCGGAGAAAAAAGAACTGAATAGCTCGGCGGTGGAAAGTCCCGCTGTCACCGGCAGGAGATAGGGCCTAGTTGCACTACTCGGCATAGGCCAAGTTTGGCGAGTAGGCGCCTGGTTGCACTTAGAGCCTCGCCACACCACTCTCGAAATGTGGAAAAGACAAAATGTGGCGGGCGCATCTGGCCGTGTTCTAGCACACAGTTCATTCTCATTCTGCACATTTCGAGAGTGGTGTGGCGATGCCCTTACTCGCCAAACTTGGCGAATGCAAAATGTGTCAGACGGCTCGCCACACCGTCGACACAAGTTGTGGAGAGTTTTTTTTTTTTTTAGGGCACGCTCACACTAGGTACCAAATCCCCATTTCCCCCCAAAAAAAGAGTTCCCGGACAGTCACACATCGTGAACATCTGCCCAAATTCTCAAAAGGGGTGACCATTTGTCAGCGGCCTGCGAAGCCGCGGGGTGACCTCTGGAGGTTACGGCAAATTCTCAAATCTTTTTCCGAATTTGCAGCGACCTTGTCGTTAGCGTTTTGGGAACACAGTGTGACCGGCCAGGTCCGCGTTTCCTCAAAACGGCCGTTCCCATTTTCCCATTTTTTGGGAATTTGGGTACCTAGTGTGAGCGTGCCCTTAGTGTGACCCGATGGGTCACGGATCAGATATCAAACTGATCAGAACAGATACATTTCACTATATCTATTTTTAGCCAAAAGGCCGAGAAAGGTATTAGGTTGTGGAGAGTTGTGGAGAGCGAATTCGGTTTCCCCGCCTGTGCAAGGCGGTCGGTTTGTGGAGGGCGGTGGTCCTCGGACCTCCCACAAATCAACTTTCTGGAGAGTCAACATCAGGTCGACAAAATGTTTTAACTTTTCTGTCGAAGATAAATAGTGGCGAGTTAAGTGCAACCAGGCCTCGAGTTCGACACGATTCTCTTTTTTTTTCACTCTCCAGGCATCCGCCACAAATTTTTTATTTTATTTTCCCTTCTTTTTCCCTTTTTTCTTCTTTTTTTATCTTTTAATTATTTAAAAGGGCGACGGCCTTGAGATTTGGACCCAAGAGCCTGATTGGCGTAGGCTCTTTTCCCCTTTTTCCCTTTTTTTCCCCACTGAGCTAGGCTCTTGGGTACCGCCACAAATTGTGACCGATGGCGAGTAGTGCAACTACCGGTAGGCCCATACAACCAACCTCCTTCGAAAGGAGGTGTCGAAACACTTCTCCCTGGGGCAAGGTACCACTTGCGCAAAGTAGGAGATTTGGGCCGTTGATCTTTGCTATCGACGGTCAGTATCTCTTAATTCGTGCAAGTGGGACTAGGCCCTGACAAGCTGAGAATCCTTTTCCCGTCTCTTCTCGGATTTCGACGGGCTGTGCGGCGAGGAGGAACTGCCCTCGACGAGGGATCCCTCTTTCGACAGGGGTGCGGCCAGCAGCACATTTTAATCATCTGCATCCAGCGGAGTGGACCGATGTCGCAGGCTGGAGATACAACGTCCTTCGAAAGGAGGTGGAGATACAAAACCTCCTTCGAAAGGAGGTGTCGAAACACTTTCCCTGTCATCAAGTTGAGATTCCTTTTGGAATCCTTTTCCCGTCTCGGATTTGGACGGGCTGTGTGACACGAGGAGGAACTGTACAAAAAAAACTCTTCTCGGTCCGTGGCCAGCCCCTTTTACTCTTTTCCCCTCTCGGATTTCAACGGGCTGTGTGGCGAGGAGGACCTGTAAAAATCCTTTTTTTATTTAAAAAAAAAAAAAATCCCTCTTTCGACAGGGGTGTGGCCAGCCCCTTTTTACTCATTGTCTGTATTTCAGCGGTGCTGCAGCGGAGTCCGAAGTCAGTGGGTCTGTATTTCAACAGTGCAGAGGTGTGTACCAACTGAGCTACCTTCTTCCCCCGAATACAACGTACGGTAATTATAGGCTGTATCTGGGGTATCCTTCAGTCTAAATACAGCTATAATGACCGTACGTTGTATTCGGGGGAAGAAGGAAGGTAGGCTCGATTTCTCGATTTACCCGTGTCATCTTTCCTCGAGGTGATACTAAGGACCTGATCCCACCACTACACTACAGCCCAGTTAGGGCCTCACCCGTGTCATCTTTCCTCGAGGTAATACTAAGGATCTGATCCCACCACTACACTCAGCCCAGTTAGGGCCTCATCCCACCATACTCACCGTAAGTAAAAATGATATGTAAAAGCCCGGCACTCCACTGTCCCGACATTCAAGGGAATTTTACGTGAGTGGCGGCGGCCTTTGTTGGCCGTTCTGGCCACGGACAAATCAGGCCCGGCAACGGACAAAAGAATAATTAAAAAAAAAAAAAAAAGGGTAAGGGCCCGTCGATTTTACGAAAACGGAAAACGGAGCTCCTGAAGTTCCCTCCACGACCGCCACATCGTGAACCGTTTTCACATGCCTCCGTTCACCGCGGAGGCCCCGGGGTTCAAGGAAACTGGTGGGATACCAAAAAAAAGCATTTTTTACTTACCGTGAGTATGGTGGGATGAGGCCCTTACACTGTAGTTTTCGGATCCCACCTCTTTCCGACGTCGTCGCGGCCGCCGAAATATTTTGCCCTACTTTCGTTTGTGTGTGTCATGGCAGCACGTCCGCGAAGGGTGCAAGCGTAGTTGCTACAATTTTTGTGTAGTCCGTGAGGGCATCTCTGCAGCGAAAAAGAGGGAGCAATTTATTTTATTTTTTTTCGTCTTTCGTCCATTTGCAGCATTTCGATTGGCTGCCCTCTGCAACAGCCCAGAAAGAACCGCCGCGGGGTCAGGAAAAGCACCGAAGAAGTCGCCCTGGTGGGATCCAATTTTTGTTTTTCGTTCCTCCACGGCCGCTGACATCTTTGTAGTGCTTTTTGGCGACTACAGTCAGAGTGTAGTGGTGGGATCAGACCCTAAGGGCCTCGCCACACCAATGTCGAAACTCGAGTTTTCCACATTTTTTCTTCGCCACACAGACTGTCGAAGAAAAAATGTCGAAAATTTTTCGACAATGGTCACAAAGGTGGTTTCGACATCACGGAGACGAGGTGTTGAAGGATGTGCTGATTTCGACATCTATGCCTCAAGATTCCGTGTCTTAGTCTTCTTGTTTTTTGTTTTTTTCTTCTTCTTTTTTTTTGTTTTTCTTCCCTTGTCTAGAAACGAAACTGCGGTGTGGCGAAGGCGGCCACTGTGTTGAAACCGTGAATGTCGAAAGTGGTCTGACAGTTTTCGAAAATTTCACGGTTTCGACATTGGTGTGGTGAGGCCCTAATTGAGCTTCACTGTGGGCCTCGCCACACCACTGTCTAAACAAAAAAAAATAGAAAATGCATATTCCCGCAGAGAAGGGCAAGATACATCCGTTACTATGAATAGCAACGGATGCACCTTATGGCTTTCTGCGGAAAGATGCATTTGTTCTCTTTATGTTGCGACAGTCCTGTATCATTCCAATTTTAATAGATGTCCCGAGGGACAATAAGGCTGCTCCAGAACAAAAAAACAAAAAACAAAAAAAAGGTGCAGTTTTTTCTTCCTTCAGTCGTTAAACATTTTCCACAAGTACAGAGCTTCTTTATAGCGTCTACAGTGCTCGAGGACTAGATTCGAAGAACCTTGGCCTATCTCAGTTGGTACACCCCTGA